CTAATTTAGAATAATGATGTATTAGGATTTTTGTTCAATTTAATTTCTGGAAAAGCACTTTTCTTTGCAATGTAATATTTTACTTTAGTACATCTCATTTTTGTAATAGCTGATTTTGCTGATTTTGTTAAAGCATACTGCCAGGTACTAATATAGATTGGTTTGAACAATCCTAGCTCTTCTGTTTGAACTGAAGTAACTTCTTGATGATATTATGATAACAGTCAAAACTGCAGAAACTCTAAAATAGAACTGCCTTTCCTGTGGTTTTGCCCCCAACATTTCTTATGTTGAAAGAAGATTTGAAGAACTATAATTTCAAAAGCAAAGGACAATTATGTTAAGATTCTTATATTTGATATTTTAATGAATGAATAATGAAAACATGAAATAATGCTAATTGGTAGCACTGATGTGATGTGATATTCTTGGGGATTTATTGTATATATCAGAATGTGTACATGCATAGTAAGGCTAAGATGTTGATATCCTATCACATATGTGCATATTCCCTAACTTCTGCTGTGCAGCTTCTAACACATCGCAAAAATTGGGTAGGAGTTTATAATAGATTTGTCAGTTTAGTGGCAGTGATGATATCCCTCTGAAACAGTGACTGATAAACAACCATAGTATGCATAAGGAGCAGAATTTTCCCTCCAAAGTATTACTATTCCTGTTATTGAGAATCATTGAATCTTTCTGTGAACGAATGCAGAAACAGTGATCTAAAGGAAATACAATTTCTTTAACTAACATTTTCAAATTAATAAATTCAATTAAAAAGAAACAAATGCTTGCTACTGGGGAGATCAAACAAACCCGTACATATTATTTAATCTTATTTATTAGATGTAATAATTTTTCAACGTTTTTCTATGAAAACATCCATGTTTTCATCTCTCATTTTTTTGGTATGTTTTCTGACATCTTGAAATTAAACAATTTGTAGTCCTGCCTTTTCTATAAAAAGATGTTGAGACTCTAGAAAGAGTGCAGAAAAGAGCAACAAAGATGATTAGGGGACTGGAGGCTAAGACATACGATGAACGGTTGCAGGAACTGGGCATGGCTAGTCTAGTAAAGAGAAGGACCAGGGGAGACATGATAGCAGTGTTTCAAATATTTGAGAGGCTGTCACAGAGAGGAAGGGGTCAACCTGTTTTCCAAACCACCTGAAAGCCAGACAAGGAATAATGGATGGAAACTGATCAAGGAGAGATTCAACCTAGAAATAAGGAGGAATTTTCTGACAGTGAGAACGATCAACCAATGGAACACCTTGCCTACAGAATTTGTGGGAGCTTCATCACTGGAGGCTTTCAAAAAGAGATTGGGCTGTTATTTCTGTCAGAAATGGTGTAGGGTCTCCTGCTTAGGCAGAGAATTGGACTAGGTGACCTACAAGGTCCCTTCCAACTCTGTTAATCTGTATATAACTTCAGTTAAATTATAAAGCTGGCAGTTCTATTGAATTAGTGCCAAATGTTTATAATTACTGAATCAAAAATTGCTTAGAATATCACTATAAATTTTGCATTAATTCCAAGTTTAAAAATTTAGCCTCTCTGTTGATGTTTTTATAAAACTGATTAATGCAAAAAATCTAATAATTCAAAAATCTAGTGAATAAACTATAAACACTCTGATGAAATAGGTGGTTTGTAAAACAACTTTCAGTAGCAACATATTTTGCTAATGAAAAATCTGTCTTCACAATCAATGTGGTTTCATTCTTTACTCTGTAATGTAAGCTTGGTAATTGTGATTTTTTTTTTTTGTACAATTAATGGATAGAGGAGATGAAGTGGTTTTCTAAGTACTTAATTTAGTATGCCCATTCCACAAATAATAGTTTGAAGCATTTGGAACGATGTTCTAAATTGAAAGATGGGTTTCTTTTACAGGGCTTGGAAAATTATTTCATCTCATTTAGTTTCTCTCTGGTTTAGCATATAGTCTGTCTATCATCAACAAATCTTGAATCAATCTATCTATCTATCTATCTATCTATCTATCTATCTATCTATCTATATAAAAGGATGTATATATATTTGTTCCAGCATAACTATGGAACGGCTCAAGCAATTTCAACCAAACTTGATACACAGATGACTTACCCTCTGGAAACAAATACTGTGGGGGTAAAACACCCCTGGTGTCTCTGTGTGTGTGTTCCAGCATAACTGTGGAACTCCTGGGCCATTGAGAGCGTCCTAGAACGGTAATTGAGATGTCAGTTCCTTCGCAGCTTCCTCTGGAAAGCCAGCCATGACGTTTGCCCTCCAGTGGACCAATGGGGAAGCACCTGATGGATCTGGGGCAAAGTGCCAGGATTTTAGACAGGGCGGGAAAGAGGAGCTCATGGGAGGGGGAAGGGAGAGGGCAGGGATGATGGGCATGAGACTACAGGGAAGAAAGGCTCCAAATGGCTCCCTGTCAGACAAACGCTTTGACATCTATAAATACCCACGCAATGCCGGGTTATCAGCTAGTTACTTATAATTTGGGTTGGGTGAAGATTTTTCCAGTTTTCCAGAGGGGAGAGAGAGAGAAAAAAGAAAACCCTGAAAAATTTCCAGCAGAAAAAGATGCACTTGTTATTGGCACTCTCATTTATTTTTATTTATTTATTTATTTATTTATTTATTTATTTATTTATTTATTTTATTTATATGCCGCCCTATCTCTGTAGGACTCAGGGCGGCTCACAACAATAAAATATCTGAATAAAAGCGTGTTAAAATACATGTTAACCCCCCCAGTCCAGGATGAACAACCATATCTTTAAATCGCGGCGGAAGGTATGGAGGTCAGTTTTATGCTACCTTAACCTCATAAATTATAACTATCCAGCAGCCAGCTCTCAAATATTTTGCCACTTTTTTCTTTGAAGACTGGCAATAGGAGAAGCCAAATGATTCTTTCTTTTCTATTTTCTTCATCTATCCCTTCTTCCCATGTTGTAGCTGTAGTCCTATGGAAGAACTACAATGCCCCTTTGTCATGGTGTTATTCTGGGTAACATTTTATATGTGAATAATTGGAATCTAAAAAAACTTCTATCTGTCTGTTTTTCACTTATCCATGAGATTTGAAATACTCTCTCTTTTTCTGTAGCATTCTAGGCTGGGTATGATTGATTAGTTGATTGCTAAATTATAACTATTTCTTTTGACTATACTCATTTGATATGTGAGAATGCAAAGGCAAGCTAAGGTTGCTCAAACCAGAGAAAAAGTTGAAGGAAATGTAGATTGTAGAGTTTTTACTACCACAAGGAATATGTTTGGATGTTTTCACTGACTCTGGAAAATAGAACAGATTGTCTGATTTTACGTTAATTCAGCATTTATACTATATAATGTATGTATTGTGTGTATATATACATATATGTATACGCATGTACACCAGGGGTGAAATCTAAAAATTTTCCCTACCAGTTCTGTAGGCGTGGCTCAATTGGTGGGTGTGGCTTGGTGGTCAGGTGACCCGATGGGTGTGGCTTGGTGGTCAGGTGACCTGGTGGGCGTGGCCAATAATAATAAATAAGAAAAATAAGAAACAAAGTACACAAAACAATAAGAGGTACCAAAAACCAACTTTTACACTTTACACACACACAACACAACACAACACAACTGACTCACACACAATGTAAAAGCAGCTGCACTTGACCCAAAATGGCCCCTGCAACAAGTAGGAACCTCACACAGCCACAAAAAGCTCAAAAACCAACTTTCACACTTTTTCCACACAAAATACCACATACAGCTTTGTGAGATTTTGTGTGTTTGTGTAGTTAGAGTGAAACACTACAGAAACACACCAAATATCAGAAAGATGCACAAATATTTTATTATTTTATTTATATTTTTAGATAAAAGCAGCTAAATTTAAAACTTCCTTAACTTTAAATTGCTATTAAAAAAAACACTCCAAAAAACCCCCCAATTAACTATTTTTTTTAAAGCTCCCCCCAAAAAACCAAAAAACCCAGTTACTTACCAAATTGAAGGCACAAGGCAGGCAGGCAGGCAGGCAGGCAGAAAGATTGAGTTGCTCACTGATTGCATTGATTGCAGGCAGGCAGATTGAGTTGCTAGCTGATGCATTGGATTGCAGCAGCTGAAGCAAGGCAGGAAAAGCAAGAGAGCCTGAAAGAAGCAGCAAGCTGCCAAGTGGGCAAGTGGGGACCGGACGATTGGGTGCGCATGGGTGGGGGGCCAAGGGATTTTTACTACCGGTTCTCCGAACTACCTGCCGCCATCGCTAATGGATCACCCAATCCAGTCCGAATCAGGAGTATTTCACCCCTGATGTACACTCACACTTACACTCAAGAATTAATTCTTATTAAGGAAAAATCCTGATATGTTTAATATTTAGTCCACATGCTTCAGATTTAGAATATTTTCTATTTAGTAAATATCTGTGTATGGCTCTCCATTCATACTTCAATAGCAGTTTGTGAGTTTGAGGAGGAATCTGCTTTGAAAAAATGCAAAATAAATTGTTCTATTTGTTATTACAAATAACAAAGATCTAGAATCTTTATGATCCCCATAATTTGTTATAACCAGTAACATAGGCTTTAGATTAAACAAAATGTGAAAGTCAGTGATTCCCCTAGATTTGTTGCTGCTTTCTTTCCAAGTAGAATTGAGCTAATTTTTCCCCTGCAGTATTTTTTTCTGTAGGAGATACTTTTTAATATGTGTTGAGCAGAGCTTGAGGAAGAGAAGTTGGTTGTTGACTATATGCTTTACGAGAAGCCATTGTACCAAGATTTATTGTATCTTTTCCAATATGATTGCAGGTTTTAAAAATAATTAATCACAAATTTATGATTGTGCATGCATAATTATATGTAATCATAAGTCATGTATTAAATGCAAAGCAAATCAGTACATTAGCTTCCCTCTTCTCTGTATATCAAGCAATTTTTAAAATTATGTTCTCTCTTTGACTTTTCTTCCTCCTCTTTTCTCCTCTAATAGGATGAATCATCCATGTTCTTCCAGTTTGGCCCATCGATAGAACAACAAGCTTCTGTTATGCTGAACATCATGGAAGAATATGACTGGTACATTTTCTCCATTGTCACTACCTACTTTCCTGGCTACCAAGATTTTGTCAACAAGGTCCGTAGTACTATTGAGAACAGCTTTGTTGGCTGGGAGCTAGAAGAGGTACTCTTGCTGGACATGTCTCTGGATGATGGAGATTCAAAGATCCAGAATCAACTCAAGAAACTCCAGAGTCCTGTCATCTTACTGTACTGTACTAAGGAAGAGGCCACTTATATCTTTGAGGTGGCTAATTCTGTTGGTCTGACTGGGTATGATTACACATGGATTGTGCCCAGTTTGGTGGCTGGAGATACAGACACAGTTCCGTCCGAATTTCCCACTGGACTCATCTCTGTGTCATACGATGAGTGGGACTATGGTCTTCGTGACAGAGTGAAAGATGGAATAGCCATAATAACCACGGCCGCCTCTGACATGCTATCTGAACATAGCTTTATTCCTGAGCCCAAGAGTAGCTGCTACAATACACAAGACAAGAGGATCTACCAATCTAACATGTTAAATAGGTAAGGGAAATAAATATAATAATAAATTGGTTACTCACAAATTCATTAAAATGGTTGGAGTTTTTGTGTAGTTTTGGAGTCCTCCCCCCCCATATATGATTCTCATCCAATGCAAAACTAATTGAGTATATACATGGCAATAAGGAACATGTATATGAATACAAACTTCTTGGTGACGGGATGATAACAATTACATACTGTATTTCTAATGTTGTAAATTATACTGTTGTTCTGGAACTATTCTCAAGTCCTTCTGTAAGATATTAAGTATAACCGGTGGAAACATTTATCAAGGAGACTCTTAAAGTAAGCATTTAAAAAAATAAGTGGTAAATCTGTAAATGCCACCTCTAAGTACAATAAAATTTTGGCAACATATGATAAGTAGAGAAGCATGGCTACAAAGCAAAAAGCTGGTAGACCCTAGAAAGAAAAACTGTTGTACCAGGGAGATAAGAACAAGGTTCAGATACCATAGAATACATAAGAATCAGATTAAGAAAGGAAAAAAAAATCAGGAATAATGAGATCATTAGGAGAAGTTATTAGGCACAGGACTGGCACAGAAAAAATGCCACAGTTCAGTATGAAAAAGCAGCCTATATGTGTGGTAGATAGGATTGGAGTATGATATGTTGATAGTGGTTAAAGTGCTGGCCTATAAATCAGGAGATCATGAGTTTTACTCCTGACCCACCTCAGCGTTGTTATTGTGGGGAAATTTATTTATGGAGGGAATATAATGCATGTTCTCTGCCTCGCATTACTTATAATGTAATAAAGTAATATCTAGTAAATTAATCAATATGATACATTAATGTAAACAGTACCAAGAGAGATAGGATCTTTTTCTAACCTTGAAGTGAGAAGCAAAACTTTAGATGATGGGATGAAAGATTAATTCCAGTTAGTGAAGTTCACGGAGAAGGAGTCTACTATTCATTTGGAATATGGATTCAGCCATTGAATCTGTGACTTGGCTGGGTGTTTTGTCAAGCCAGCTTCTTAGGGCAGCATGCAGGAGAAACAGGTTTTTGCTACAATCTGTTTTTAGTAGGCATAATTTTCCAGAATTCTATTAGGTATTTGAGATTTTGAGCAATTGGACCTTAGTCATATAACCAAGACCTGTAATATTACGGCTGCTCTGTGGGATGAAGTCACAGGAACACATTGTTAAGAAAGTAAACATCAGATTCTAATTTCAATGAGATGCATATCCATAACTTTGTTAAAGATTATGGCCTTAAATTTTAAAATATTTAGCTAGAAATAAAAGTCAGTGTTCACCTATTTATGGAATCATCTTCTTATTGGAATATTTTATTAGTGTGTAGTACAAATAAGACAAATTTTGTTTTTTGTTTTTCGTAAGAGCGGAAGTTATGTTGTGATCCATGAAATATACAAGCTACAATTTATCAAAAACTCTTTATTCACAGAACTCCTTAGACTTATTCTATGAGAAGTAAAGTAGATTCTTTTGCACATTTTGTTCATTTTTTGTTTTTTCATAGAAAATGGTGTCTGCACATAAACATTCAATGTTGCACATAACAGAAAAATGATTGCAATCACAGTTTTAAGCTTCTTTTCTAAGGAAAGTTAGAAGTTTTACATTTTTTTAGTGGTTACAGGTTTTTCTTGCCTTATAAGTAGCAGTCAGTGAAATGAAAGGCTCACAGTATAATGCTGACATAGCTGATATTTTGTGATTCCTCAAGTTTATGGGGAAGATCAGAGCAGAAAATGTGGGGCTGCTGGTTTTGAAGGCAGCCATGCATACATACAGTGTCACTTTCATTTCTGGTTCAAGAGAGAGATGAAGCTCTGAAACTGCCAAAGCAAGAAATTTCAGACATCATTATAAACTCACTATACTCTTATATGGGATAGTCTGTTCCTTTGGCAAGACAAGTCCATGTACTGTAAGCAGAAGGTTATAAATTTTAAATGAAACTGTTATTCATAAACTATTTCCACGAGGGGCCCTTTTTTCTGCCCTTTTTAATAAATGTGGAGAACTGCTGACAAGATGATGAGGAAAAGAAGGGGCTAAAAGAAGAACATTTATGGGCTGCCTTTATGTGATGTAATATCTTTATGTCTTGTAATATCATCATATAATGGCCTACAATAATAAATTCCTTCCCATAGAAAAAAATATTGCTGCTTAGTTTCTGGGAAAATCTGTAGTCCCCATAACAAGTTTCTGTAGGGAAAAAAACCCCTTGTGATCCCCCACAATAATTATGCTGCTACAATGTTGTTCTTTCCTTGGAAATTCCCCTGCTGTTTACCAACTGATAGCCCCAAATACAGTGGAAGCTGGAACATGGTTGCATCCCAGGATACTAAAAATATTAAAAAGCAGACTATAATCCAATCTGTTGCAGACTTCAAAGCTTACAAAATATATCCAGTCAGGTCTTTTTATTTTGAGTAGCAGCTCCCATTCACATAATTTAAATGGAGGGTGGGGGGTAAGAGAGCAGGGCTGCCACTTCTCAGTGCATGGAACTAGATTCATGACATTCCTGACTGAGACAAGGGCTGCAGAATGAAAAAGAAGAACAGTTTTGATATACATTTTATTCAAATTCTATAGTTACTCATTAATACTACACTGTAAGCTCCTTCTTGCTGCCCATATTTATTAGTTTTATTGTTTTTATATGAGGTTTTATATTCTGTAAGTCACCTTGAGTCGCCATGTGCAAATAAGCGGCAATATAAATTCCATAAATAAATAAATTCATTCATTCATTCATTCATTCATTCATTCATTCATTCATTCATTCATTCATTCCAGGGACTGCAAAGAGCTGTTCCTATTTAGAGTTGCTTTGGTAAGCAGGGATTTGGTTGTCATGTTTATCCTCTACCTTTAATAAACTTTATAAATACTTTAATAATAATAAACCCATGTGCCCAAATTATGGTAATTTTTGAAATAGTTTGGCATGCTACAATAATTTTGAAGAACAAAGTTGTTTTTTAAAAAATAGGGACAATTTTGTTGCTGCTGTCTCATAAATGCTTGCATTGCCATGTGATTCCTTTTGCAATGCCCGGAGGCGCTTAGTTTTCTCTCTTTCTTTCCCATCTTAATCTGAGATCTACTGTTGATCTATTCTTCCACTCACTTTCTTTCTTTCTTTCCAGCTCCTGGATTATTTCATGGAGAGAATGGCATCATTTGGTTGGACCCAAAGGCCTTTAGTGATATCAGGCAAAAGAATCCCAAGTATAATGAGTTAGAAGCTGCAGTTATGAATACATTTGCAGCTTCTGGCTGCCTATTATAGCGGTATCATATTATCATAATGTTTCTTTTGCCAGCTGGTGAGCAGGGAGGAAGGAAAGGTCTGTAGCAGTGGCAATAACAGAAGTGATAAGAGGCCAGGAAAGGAGTTGAGATGATAGGCAAGACTGGGACCAAAGAAATAAAAAAAGAGGGAAGGGGAAGAAGGAGGTGGGAAAAGTCTCTCAAATCCAATAACACTACTGCAAAGAAACCTATTCTCTTCCCAAAATCTACCTAGTACCTTCCTTCCAAATTTATTGTCTTATTTGTCTTTCCAAATCTTCTGAGGTGTATCCTGAATAAGGTCTTGTACTTTCACTACTTTTCCTTTTTGTCCATCTGCCTTTTATGAAGGGAACCTGCACACAGTTTGCACAGTTATTAGGCAAGTGAGTATTTTAATCATGTCATCATTTTTATGCATATTTTCCACCTCCAAGCTGCATAAACTTGAATCATCGTCATCATCTTTTAACGATCCCATAATCCCTTGTAGGGTGGAGTCTGGGCAATTGAATGGAGCTAGCAGAGCATTTAATGACTGGATGCCCTTCCTGTTGCCAATGTGGAGTTTTGTTCAGCAGATATATTCTCATTGTGCCCAGAGAGAGAAATATTTGCCTCTACCTAGGATCAAACTCATAGTCTCCTGATTGTGAGGCGAGAGCTCCACCCCTAGTCCACCATGCCACTCCAAGCTGTATAAACTTGAATGCTTAGTGAATATAAGCATATCAGGTGATGTGTATTTGTGTAATGCGGGAGAGTATGGCCTAAGAAGATCAACCCCTATATCAAGGTATGCATAATTATTAGGCCACTTCTTTTCCTCAGGCAAAATGGGCCAAAAAAGAGATTTAACTAACTCTGAAAAGTTAAAAATTGTCTTTCAGAGGGATGCAGCACTGTTGAAATTGCTAAGATTTTGTTTTGAATTTTAAAATGTTTTTTATTTCTAATAAACATGTCTTAACTGTAGTCTCTTATCCATTGTTAATCAAACATATTCTCTTTTATAATAATAATAATAACTTTATTGTCATTGTACGTTTATACACAGTATACCCATATAACGAAATTCACTTAACACCCAAAGACCAGGTCCAACACGCATAACAATCCCCAAACACACTCCCACCCACCACAAATTCCCCACCCCTAAACCACCCAAACATCCACACAACAGACTAAGTAATGCTGTCCAACAGCTCACTGATGGTGGCCCTTTAGTTCATTGTTGCCTTGGTGGCGCAGCAGACTAAAGTGCTAGTAAGTAGCACTAGCTGCCTGCAATTACTGCAAGTTCAAATCTCACCAGGCTCAAGATTGACTCAGCCTTCCATCCTTTTGAGGTAGGTAAAATGAGGACCCGGATTGTGGGGGCAATAAACTGACTTTGTATAAAAAAAGAACACCGCTTAGGGGGGCCCGAAAGCCCTACTAAGCAGGTATATACAAAAAGTATGAAGGTTATTGCTTAATGCATTGTAAGCCACTCTGAGTCTCCAGAGGAGGGCGGCATATAAATTGAACTAATAAATAAATAAATTGTTGAATGCAATTATAGCTCTGGGATAAAAACTATTCAGAAAACGTGTAGTCCGAGTTTTAATTGTTCTGTATCTTCTGCCAGAAGGCAACAGTCCAGAAAGTTTGTAAGCAGGATGGGAAGAGTCTCTAAGAATATTATGCA